TTTACTTTTCATACGGCAGTTGCTTATTATTTATATTCCCTATAAGACTGTCACCTTTTTGAGGACCGTGTTTCGTTCATCACTGCATTTCGAGCACCTAGTGCCAGAGCTGAATGAGTACTGTTGCCAGTTCTAAACGTTGTTAGACCAAAACTCACATTCTTCACCATTCAGCCAATTTGCTTTAGAGATATTCGTAAATGAAGTTTTTTTTTTTTTTTTTTTTTTTGGTCTTTTTATGCCTGTCTTCCAAATTTTGTAACTGGTTTAGTTATAGACATTTCCCGTATCAGTGTTTTTAGTTCTTTCATGTCAAAATATTTATGCTTTAATAGCTTATTATGAACTCATGCTCTGTTACTGCTATTATTAGAAACAGTATTTTAACATTAACAAAGGTGAACTCCAAATACTGCGGATTATATTTTTTTCTTAAATGAGTCGGAATCGACTCAATGGCAGTGGGCTTGGTTTTTGGTTTGGATGGCAATTACACATTTCAGAACTCTTCTCTTAGAACATCAGTGATGATAAAAAATAATTTGAGAAATAGCAAACACTAAGCACTGCCTGTGCCAAGCATTACTTTAAGTGCTTTTTAGCTTATTTAATCATCATCATCCTATGAGATACGTACTATTTATGGCTCGCTAAGATGAGTCATAGCTGAGGCACAGTAAGGGAAAGTAACTTGCCCAAGAATACATTTTTAGTAGATGGTAGACGCAATAGTCATACCAGGCAGCCTGGTTCTCAGGCCACAGTGTGAACCCCCGCACAACACTGCTTCCCACTCCCATCTCTCGGCTGGAACCACTGCATGCTGACACCAACACGCTCTATCTGCAAGTGAGTCCTCAGGAAACTGTCATCTCAATAGTTCCTGGAATTAAGGGCTCAAGCTACCCTAAAAGGAATGTAATAACATCATGGTCTGAATTTTATGACGTGATTGTTCCTTCCTTGCTCTCCTGTTTGCTTTTCCCAATTATTCACTGTGATCTAGTCGTTTGTTTTTTTCTCGCTTCTTTTGCCCTACTGCAGCCATACTGAGTATCTTGGCAGGCACTGAGCGCCCCGAGCTGTGTCACACTTCCATGTCTTTGTTCACATTGCTCTGTACACCCTTCCTTCCAGGTCAGCTATGACTCATGCTCATGTGTTCCTAGACTTAACCCACCTACCACCTCCTCTAGAAAGCATTTTCTGTCCATACCGCACATCCCCCCCCCGCCTACCCAGGAAGCAGTGACCAGTCACCTTCCCTTGAATTCTCCGCTGCCTGCATCTCTCAAGTAACTCTCACATGCTTTTGTGTTTAATACCTAACATGCCTGACTCCACAGTCAGGATTCTAAGCTTCTGTGCCTCATTTACCCACGTGACCATAACATCTAGCACAATACGTCCCTCATAACAGCTATTCAAAAAACATTTCATACTCAAAGTATTACGACTATCAAACACAAAACGATGGTGAAGAGTAAACTGTAATGAATTTCAGATTGAAAATAATCATCCTCAAGCTTTATGAATCGGAGAAAGGGATATGGCCATATAATTTCCTTTGTGGCTTATCTCCCAAGAGTCTGGTAACCTAACAACTGATCAGACAATGACTCTCTCTCTCTGCATTGTAATATGCAGAGTAAGAAAACTAAGAAACTACTATGCAACCACTTACTGATCTTGGGTTCCTTAAATTGGAAAGAAAAGAACTAAAATAGGCAGAAGAGATCGCAAACAACTGAGATTACAGGTTGCATCCAAATAAACAGAAAATCCCTTTTCTAGAGGAATCCCTGGGTGGTGCAAACAACGCAATCAGCTGCTAACCAAAAGGCTGGAGGTTCGAGTCCACCCAGAGGCACCTCGGAAGAAAGGCATGGTGATCTACTTCTGAAAAATCAGCCACTGAACACCCTATGGAACACAGTTCTACTCTGACACACATGGGGTCGCCATGAGTCAGACTGACTCAACGGCAACTGGTCTTCTAGAAGAATGAGACTGGTCCTGGAATCTGACAAACATTCCCTTCTGCAGTGTCTTACCATTTGGCAACTCCCTCTGATCCGGCAGGCCTCAGATGCACAGCGCTGTCTGCTTACACAACTCTCTCCTCCTGAGAGCGTGAACTGCTCCAAAACAGTTTTCCCCAAGTATTCTCCTTGCCTAGCATAATGACGGCACATAAACATGGTGAGTTCTCATTTTGACTTTCACTAGGTTTTATACCTATCTGGAGTTTGACCTTTTGGCCTTTTCTTGCCTTGTCTTACTTTTGGTTTTGTTACCTTCCATGTTGGACCCAGTTTATCTGTCTTCCTCTATTTCAAACCACAGTCACAGTCTCCTTCAACTTCTAGTTTTAAGTCTATTCTAAATGTTATTCTTTAAAAAAAAAAAAAAAATTCCTTGTTTTCTTCTCACCACCACTGCTTCCCACCTCCCTTACCCCCCACCAAAATGAACTTTTTAATGATCAATAAGAGGGAAGACTGGAATACTGTGAGCCCTGGAAAGTCTACGTAAACAGGGAAGACAGATACTTTCTGACCCTCAGCTGCCACTGACTACTTAGACATCACAGAAAGGCCATCCTAAACATGGCTCTTTAAAGAACCTTCCTCCTGGAGAGCAAGAGGAGTTAACTTCTTCCTGGGCTCTAAGCCCCTGTCAAATATATTTGCTGGTACTTAACAGTTATAAACTAAAAAAAAAAGACCAGCTGCTGTGGAGTTGATTCCAACTCATGGTGACCCCATATGTGTGCAGAGTAGAACTGTGCCCCATAGGGTTTTCAAGGCTGTAAACTTCTGGAAGCAGACTGCCAGGCCTTTTTTCCAAGGTACCCTCTGCATGGGTGTGAACCACTAACCTTTTGGTTAACAGTCATGCACTTAACTGTTAAGCCCACCCAGGGGCTTCTTAACAGTTATACAAGAGTGTTAATACCAAGGCAAAAATTTGGGCATTTGGAACTTTACATCTGACAAGATGTCTGTCTTGTGGGGAGAGACAGAGAACAAAAAACATAGTTTTGGCAGGATGATCAAAAGTTAGGGGGTAGGCAAATGTGAGTCTACATGAGATAGAGTGGTCAGAAAAGGCCTCTCTTCAGAGGTAACACCCCAGCTAGTTGGCAGGATAAGAAGGAGATAATTATGTGGAGAGGCAGGAGGAGAGTGTTCCAAGGCAGAGGGAACAGCAAGTGCAGACGCCCTTAAGTGGCAGAGTTTGGCCCGTCTGATGAGCAGAAAATTGTTCCCTGCCTCCAGTCATCTGTTAAATGCTGTAGAGAATCATGCTCATTTCTTCCATAGCACTTCTTCTGGTTTATAATCTATTCATTAGTATTACATTTTGGATAATGTCTACCAAAAAAACATAAAAAACCACACCCATTGCATTGAGTTGATTCCAACACATAGCAACCATATAGTGACCCTACAGGACAGAGTAGAACTGCCTCATAGGGTTTTCAAGGAGCAGCTGGTGGATTCAAACTGCCAACCTTTTGGTTTGCAGCTGTACCGCTTAACCAATGTGCCACCAGGGCTCTGGATAATGCCTATCACCCTCTAAATTTTACAAGTATTTACTGATTGTCTACTATGTGCCTGGCACTGGGGATATAACACTGAACAAACAAGGGTGGAGAGGTAGCTTCAACCTCCAACCTTTCAGTCAGCAGCCTAGAGCAGTTAGCCATTTGCACTACCCACAGACTTGTATATGTCACAGGATACTGAAGATGACTTGGGCACAGAAACACAGGTGCACAGAAAGACTGGAAGGAAATACACCAACATTAAAAAATGGGTGTCCTTTGTGCAAATTGTATACAACAAGGCATATATATATATATTTTTTTTAAACCATTTTTTAAGTACTTATCCCATTCAATGAAATACAAAATAAGCTTAGTGTGACAGACCTTCAGCTTTAGTTTATGAGCTGTAGGGGCCACGTTAACATTATTTATCATTTTTCTTAGGATACTAATTTCTTACTAGGTTTGGCTACCAATGTAGCCATAGGTTGCAAATACGCTCTGAAATATGACATAACCTAATGAAAAGAAGAAAAACAATGCCAAAAAGCCGTTAGATAATACAATTAGATACTGTCTCTACCGGATGGGAGCAGAAAGATGACGTCAGGGCAAAAAAAAAAAGGCAGCAATCTGCGAAATTAGAGCACTCCTCTGCGGTGGACCACCCCGGTCACCGGCAACAAGGAATCTGTTTCCAGAAGGTTCAAAAGGCTAAGCTCCCTTTCCATCCCTCTAAACCTAGGCATCCAGTGCTTGCTCTCATCCCAAGCACAACATGCACAATGTACCCTCCCCAGACTCACAGCCCGCGCTCACCCCACGCAAAGCAAAAGAAGCTCTTCCTTGCTACACATTCGGTACCGCCAAGTAGGGCTCCCCTTAACGCCCGCAAAGCACACTCCCGGCCAACACCCAGCCTGGGCTCCCCTAGCCCAGCCAAGCACCGCACAGGAACATCAGCCCTCACCGCAGTTACTGCAGGGACCTTAGGGACACTCGACTCACCAAGTCACCTCAGATCAAGCCCTCACCCCGAACACCACATCTCCCCTTCCGGGCGAGGCTCAGTCCCAGAAACATCGTGCACGCTTTTGCTGGCGGCACAGCATGGCTCTAGCAAACAGCGGCTGTGACTCTCTCTCTGACACCCTTCACAGCACAGCTATGGAAGGTTCATCTAAATCACCGTAAACACAGCACTGTCGCTGTAAAAACACCTGCCGCGGCCACCACCTCGGCACCGCCCAGTTCTGATCTCCTACCAAGCCATCATCTCGGGGAATGCACGGTCCCCCCTGAATGCCGGCAAGCGCGATTCCGGGAAAACCTTGGCTACACCCTACACCGCAACACAGCACGACCGCGAGTCAACCCAGCCCCGCGCCTCCTAGCCGGCCCACCAGCCACTCGGTCGGCAAGCGCACTCCCGCCAGGGTCTTACCGGTGTGTGTAATTAGCAGGTGGAACACCACAGACATCAGAAGTGGTCCAACGGTGCGCCAAGAAGTAAAGGGACTCTCGCGGCGGCAGGCGGACGCCATGGGCGGCGCGAAAGACATTCTTATTTTCTCGGAGAAAAATATGCTAATGGTCGGAAACCCGAGAGCATACGGAGCAGAAAAGCCGGTTAGGGCCTCTGTATCAGACGCAACAATCCCCATACTCGTGAAGTAATAAGGTCAAAAAGGCAGGTGGGCGTGGCCTGGACCGCGCCCGGGGCGGAAGCGACTTGCGGTACCGGAACGGTGGGGCCAATCGGAACGCTGGAAGGCGGGGAGTCGGTGCCCCGGTTGCCGGCGGGCTGCAGCCAAACAACAGCCTGGTGAAGACAGGCGGGGCGGGATTAACCGACCAGGTTTCACGAGTGGCTTCCGGCTCCTCCGAATGGGGTGTGACCGTTCTCTTGCTACGCCCGCTCCCGCGCGACTCGGAAGCGGGGTAGCGTTACCGCTGGGTAAAGGGTTACCGCCCTGTCCCGGAAGGGTGGATAGGAAACTTGAGGTAATTGGGCAGTCGTTGTTCCTTCTCTGGTAACCCTGCATTGACGAATAAAGCGCACTGGCCTAAAAATAGAAACCCAGGGTTCAGTGTGGAACCAGCACCCCTCACAGTCCCAGTGTTGTGCTGGCGCACTCCAGGTGGTCCGGACCACCTGAATCCTTACTCAGTATTTGGCATTAATCGAGCATTATTAAGGATAGTACTTTCTCCTTGCTTAAGAAGTGTCTTCTGCTAAACGCTCTCACTGCCTGCTGGTTCTCGAAATTACAAAGACGGTCTGGTCACTGCACTTTCAACCCTGAGTGTCAATTGCTCTTCCCCTACTCCCTTGAGAGACCCCACGGGAAGGGAAATTGTTTAGAAATAGGACCATTAGCATATTGCGCCACAATTCCACGAGGCTCTTGCTCTTGAGCAACTAAATGTTTTATTGAAGGTGAACTCTACACTTATGAAAAATGTAAGAAGAGAGTATATTAAGTGCCAAGTTCCTGGAAGCAATGAATGCCTTACGAGATGGGCTGGGTTAAATGGACTGGATCAGGGGGAGAACTTTACTGGTAAGAGAATCTCTCCAATAACGCCTAAAAGTTAGGAATGAGTGAGATTTATTTGTAGAGCTGTGAGTAAGCCTCTGTGACTAGTAAAATAAACAAATAGAAGTAACCTGACTGGTATTTTAAAAGCGCTCAAAAAGAGTATAAAAACGTCAACCAATGTGAGTGAGCGTGTTGGGCAAGGGCAGCATCACTCTCTGAGCTTTAGTAGAAAAAACTTTTAGAGGTTAATTTAGCAGCATGTAAAAGGTCTTAAAATGGACATGACTTTTACGCCACCAGTTTCACTTAGTTTATCTCAAAACATCAGCACTGTGAGCAAAGATTTGTAATTTTGGAAAAAATGTAAGCCCTAAGTGTCTAGCAAAACCACTAAGAAATTGATGGTAGGTACCTTTATGTGATGAAAATTCTATGTAGCAAGTGTTGTAAAAGAAGATCAATATGAGAAACTATGATAAACTCATAGATGGAAAAAGCAGACTCCAAATCAGTATGTACATCATGGCGTTCATTTTATTAAAACAAAGCATCATACGAAGGTACATAAAAGCAGACTAGTTGGAAACATACCAAAATTAACAGTAGTTGATTAGCTTATGGATGATATTTTGTTTTCTTTGTGCTTTCATTTTTCTATATTGATCCTTTGTTAAACATTTGGCAAAAGGTAAAGAAATTGTTTTAAAAATCCAACCTATGTAACAAGTGATATTTTGTTCATAGTATGATGAGAATGGAACTTGGGTGACACAGGTTTTATGAAAGGACGATGAGCAAATGGAGGCTGTCTGTGAAGCTCAAATGGTTCTTCTGGAAGTACTACTGTTTATTTCTATTTAATACAGCTCTGTATCTGAGATGCACTGAAGACTTTCTGGGTTCACCAATCCATAGAATTTCTTTTTCCTGTCAAAATTTTTTGAATTCTTGACAGAGCGTATAAAACAGTGTAGAGGTGGTGTACAAAATAAACACCTTAATATCTTGGATTTTAAAATGCTGACATTCCATGATGGTACTTCATTAAAGGAGGTAAAATGAAAATGAGGAAACAGTGAATAGGAAACTTAAAGAGGGGGAGCTGTCATTTCTGTTAATGCTTATAGTTGTGAAAGTGATATGACAAATGTTCTGTGGCTGAGTGTTGCACTTATTTATAAAATCTATAGTTTTCTGCAACAATAAGTATTAAAAATGTCCCATCTGACTCCACTGGTCTTGCCCCATCTAGAGCAAGGGAGAATGAAGAAAACCAAAGACACAAGGGAAAGATTAGTCCAAATGGCTAATGGATCACAAGTACTATACAGCCTCCACCAGACTGAGTCCAGCACAACTAGATGGTGCCCGGCTACCCCCATGGACTGCTCTGACAGGGATCACAATAGAGGGTCCTGGACAGAGCTGGAGAAAAATGTAGAACAAAATTCTAACTCACACACGCACACACAAAAAAAGATCAGACTTATTGGTCTGACAGAGACTAGAAGAACCCCGAGAGTATGGCCCCCAGACACCCTTTTAGCTCAGTAATGAAGTCATTCTTGAGGTTCACCCTTCAGCCAAAGATTAGACAAGCCCATAAAAAAAAATGAGACTGAGGGGGCACACCAGCCCAGGGACAAGGATGAGAAAGCAGGAGGGGAGAGGAAAGCTGGTAATGGGGAACCCAAGGTTGAGAAGGGGAGAGTGTTGACATGTTGTGGTGTTGGCAACCAATGTCATAAAACAATTGGCGTACTTATTGTTTAATGATAACAATATGTGTACTAATTGTTTAGTTTGCTCTGTAAACCTTCATCTAAATACAATAAATTAAAAAACAACAACAAAAATGTCCCATCTGTTTCCAGGCTTGAAAGTAGGATTCTTTTTCTCATAAGAAAATTAAAAAGATCGGAGGAAAAAAAAAATGTTAGTGTTTGGTTTCCTAGTTTCAGGTGCTAAATTACATTCAAGAATGATTATTTTACTGGAACCTTCTTTCAATCAAGTCATTCTTAATATAATTAAAGACTCACGTTGATTTCTTAAACTTGTTTTGATTTCACCTATGGTTTCCTATTTTTCTAGGTAAGTTCCATGAAACAGAAATAGAGTTTTCTTTTTTTTTTCTAAGACTATTTCAGAAAATCTTGCTACCAGTAGTAACATTTGTGGCTATTACATTCACAATGGAGATATATATATGTATGTATGTATATATTTATATATATGTATGGAAACCCTTATGAGGTCGTGGTTAAGAGCTACGGCTGCTAACCAAAACATCAGCAGTTCACATCCACCAGGCACTCCTTGGAAACCCTACGGGGCAGTTCTACTCTCTCCCGTAGGGTTGCTACATAAACCAAAAAAACCAAACCCGTTGCTGTCAAGTCAATTCCGACTCATAGCGACCCTACCTTATTTCAAATGTCACTTATAAAGAAATATCAACAATATTCAGTTTTACTTATCCAAACTTATTCTTTATAAGTAGGTGCAAGCATCTGTCTACTTCATTATGTCTTCCAGTGTTTTGGTACATGACTACTTTCATAATGAAATACATATAACTTTTTAAAAATCAATATTGTGTTTTAGGTGAAAGTTTACAGAGTAAAGTAGATATCCATTCAACGATTTGTACACAGAATGTTCCAAGACATTGGTTGCAGCCCCCTCAATGTGTCAGCACTCTCCCCAAATCTGCCTTGGGTTCCCCATTACCTTTTGACCAGTTTTCTTACCCCTTCTTGCCTTCGGGCAGATGTTGCCCTTTTGGTCTCTTATAAATAACTCTTCTAAGCAGCTCATTCCTGTCAGGTGTTATTGTTTATTTTGTAGGCCTGTCAATTATTTGGCTGAAAGATAGTCTCCAGGAATGGCGTCACTTCTGTGTTACCTAAGGGTGTTTTAGGGCCATATTCTTGGGGGTTCCTCCAGTCTCTATCAGACCAGTAAGTCTGATCTTCCTTGTGGTTTTGATTTTTGTTCTACATTTTTCTCCAGCTCTGTCTGTGACCCTCTGTTGTGATCCTGGTCAGAGCAGTTGATAGTGGTCTTTGGGCACCATCTAGTTCTTCTGGTCTTGAAGTCATGTAGGCTGTGGTTCATGTGGACCGTTTGTCCTTTAGACTAATTGCTCCCTTGTGTCTTTGGTTTTCTTCACTCTCCTATGCTTTGGACAGAGTGAGATCAATAGTTTTATCTTAGATGGCCATTTACAAGCTTTTGAGACCCCAGATGCTACTCACTGAAGTAGGATGTAGAATATTGTCTTTATGAACCATGTTTTGCCAATTGATGGGGATGTCTCCCAAGTCTATTGGTCCTTAGCCTTCAAACCTACTAACTTTGCTATGCGAGGTGTTTGGTTATATCTAGGAAGTTTCCATGACTGTGTCTCTTGTGTGTTCTATTGTCTATATTAATACACATGCAGCATCTACTAATGTGTATGTAGTAATATCCACAACCAAATCTACATCTGCTGGTAGATGTGCTCCGTTGCACCCCCCTACCGCTGCTCTTTAGCATACCTCTACCTATATATCCATTGGTAGATTATTATTTATTAATACTGTTGTTGCAGGGTTGTCTATGTTATGGTAATTACCGTGACTGCCCTTTATTCTTGGGTTCCTCTCAGTGCCTTCCTTTGCCTTGGTCCTCTTGTGCTGACATCCCCCCTGTTGTGTAATGTCTTTCCCTTCACCAATATTAAAGCGTGTCTTCTTTCTAATTGGTGATTTTCCCTCCCTCTCCCTCCTATCCCTGATAACCATCAAAGAATGTTTGTGTGTGTGTGTGTGTGTGTGTGTGTGTGTGTGTGTGTAACCCTTTTCTTGATTGTTTATAGTAGTGGTCTCGTACACTATTTGTGTTTTTGTCATTGACTTATTTCACTCAGCATAGTGCCCTCCAAGTTCATCCATGTTTCACAGATTCCTCGTTGTTCTTTATCGTTGCATAGGATTCCATTGTGTATATGTATCATAGTGTGTTTATCCATTCATCTCTTGATGGACACTTAGGTTATTTCCATTTTTTTGCTATCGTGAATAGTGCTGCAGTGAACATGGGAGTGCATATGTCTATTCGTGTCACGGCTCTTATTTCCTGGGGTAGAGTTTTCTTGGCTGGTAGTAGGCCTCAAAAGATACTTGTTAAATATTGAATGAAATAAATGAGTTTTGCTGGCAGGTGCCTTTAACATGAATCTGCCATTTCTCCCACAGCATGAATTTAGCAAATTCTAGAAACGTTGTCAGAGGTTTTGATTTTAATAATTTCAGACAACTAGGAAACAAATGGAGCTCTGGTGGCCCTTTACGCTCGGCTGCTAACAAAAAGGTCAGTGACTGAAACCCACCAGCCTCTCTGCGGGAGGAAGATGTGGCAGTCTGCTTCTGTAAAGATTTACAGCCTTGGATGCCCTATGGGGAAGTTCTACTCCGTCCTATAGGGTTGCTATGAGTTGGAATCCACTGGGTGGCAATGGGTTATGAGTAGGAATAAATCTGGATTTGTCTTTAAAGGCATGAGTTACAACTGTCTGCACAGAAAACTTTCTTAAATTTGGCATTGCAAGCTGACTTGTGAAGTGCTGCAGTGAACATGGGAGTGCATATGTCTATCCCTTAGCCTTAAGATCATTTTAGTGACTGAGCCCACAGGGAAAGTTTTAACAGTGAACTGAGGCTCTGACAGGGATAGAACTCTTTAAGAGTCAAGGCTGTGAGTGAAGCAGAGAGTAAACATTAGTGGTTCCTTCAGCTTCCACTAAAGATCTTGATTACCGAAGAGAAGAGGTGGAGAGAATGAAAGATAAGTGTGATTGTGAAGTTTTGAACTGTGTGGTAGATCTCCTTTAAGGCTTCCTGAATAGTGGTGAGGTGAATGCCGTTAAGTAGAGGCCAACTTCTTCTTTAAAATAAAATGTGATCTTAGATAATTATTTACCTTCTAAATTAGTGTGTTTGCATTATGCTTTTCAGAGGTGGGTGTGGCATGGGGCAGATTATCCAATAGGCAAGATAAGCAATTTCACATTTTTCCACCACATCAGAGATTCTGCTTCTAGGTATGGTAGCATCTCTCTCGCAACCCCACAGCACCTTCCCATAGAATCAAAGCCTCTTTACAGATTTATAATCCCTGACAGGGGCAGATTACTCAGTAAGCAAGGTAAACTGAAATTGGTCTACTACAGATTAGTAACTAAACACAAGTAAGCCCATGCTTACCTTGCTTACTGGGTAGCAGCATGAATGGGCCCCTGAATGCTGTCAGAAAAGGCTTTGCACTGTCATGGTGAGTTACGCTTGAGGTATTTGTGAAAACCCGACAGGGAAGAAGAAAACAGGGAAGTTAAGCCACCTTTTTGGTCTTGGCCCTGTGCAGCTATGCTACCTCTGTTTGTACCTTTTAAGCAGCTGCCAACCAACTGATCTTTACTAGTGGTTGAAGAACCACTAATGTTTACTCCTCTACTTCATTCGCAGCCTTGACTCTTATGAGTTCTATCCCTGAAGGTCAGTTGGCTGGCAGGTGTTTCATCTTCGGCTGTGTCTGATTCTTTTTCCTTACCGGCAAAATAATTCTGTGGTATGCCACATGCTAAACAGGAATTATGAAACCAAGTACACAGAAAAGGGCATTTCTCAGAAGGAGTGCATGTTCATTTTATTTCCTCTTGGCTTTTGAAGGCTTTTAAAAAAAAAAGTAAATATATTACAAACCATATTCTTTCTCATTATACTTGTGAAGACAAAATATTACCTAAATGTCATGGACTTCAATTTACATCTCACGCTGAAGTATACAAAAATAAAAATAAAGTTAGAATTTTAGAATATGAATAACTTTGGAGAGCAACTGGTTCTGTCTCTGATTTTCAGATGAGAAATGTAAGGCAGGTTATCAGAATTGTTTAATAATACAAATTAGATGAGGCAATATAGGATTTTACCCATAGTGTATATTGTACTTCCCATAGATAGCTGTTGTAGTAGAGAAAAAAAATCCCATGGATTTATTGCAGTAGAAAGTCACACATGTTTTCACCACAATAAAAAAAAGTCACACATATGAGATATTTCTTAATCATAATGCTCATTGACCCTCTATGTTCTAGAAAAAGAATGAAGGTGGAATTTTTGTGTGTGTACGATCAGGAAGTTTAATTCCTAGAAAGGCCGATTCTCAAGCATTTAATTTCTAATTCTCCTTTAATTGTTACTTCTTCAAAAACCCAAGAAACAGTTGAAATGTGTTAAAGATCTTGCTAAGTAACAGTTCCATCACTGAGCATCTTCTCACATATTTTTGGGATATTTGCCTTTTTTTTTTGGTGACCTGGCTGTATGTCATTTGCTCATTTTGGGTATTGGTCTTTGAATTTTTTAAACTCTCTAATAGGGCAATTAGCTTTTGTCTGTAAGTTACATTTTTTTTCCTCCCAGTTTGTCAGTTGACCTTGCCTGTGCTGTTTTTGTTTTGCTATCTTGTATGATTTTAAATTGAAATTCAAGCTAATTATATCTAGCTCACTCTTAATAGAGGTATCAAAGCAAATGTGGCAGAAGACACTTTTAAAGCGATAAGTAAATACTAAAACATATAATTACACAGAAGTTAGCAGTAGTCATACACAAATTTATTATTAGATATCCTCAAAGAGTCTGATATTTCTAGAGATCATTAGAATGGCCCAAAACAGCATACCAACAAATTTTTTATCTGTAAATATCCGGACCCATTAAAGACTCCAGGGCCATTTACTTAGAAAGTGCCAATACATGTTTATTAACCTGATAAACTCTTACAAATTTATTTTTGGTATTTTTTTTATATAGAACAAGGTACAGAATACTTTTGAAAAAGAGCTTAGGAAATATCCAAAGCATCATCGTTTTTTTCCAGATATTTATTTCTTTTGAGTAATCTTGACCCCTCTCCCTCATAATTATTTAAGGTATTTTCAGTAAACAGAAATTACTCTTTTTTCCTAGAGAAAGTGAAAACTAATATAGCATACATTTTGACTCCAATCTTTCAAAAAGGAGTTAACTTTATTAAAGAAAAGGAAACAATTTAAGAAGACATATTATATATAAATAAGCACATATATGAAAAAATTGGCAAAAATGAATTAAAATATTAACAGTAGTTATCACTGTGTAGTATAATTATGTGTGACTTATTTGTTTTTCCTATCTTCCTGAATTTTCCTAATTCTACTTAATCTGCCCATTCCATGTTATAAGCGTTTTAAAATATGGAAGAAAAATGACAAATTTCCAAACCAGAAATCCCAGGCAATGCCATCTTTAAGTAATTGAAACTATTTTCTATATTCCAAGTTCCACTGATTATCAGCATAAAGAAGGAGGAAGAAAAAAGAACAACAGTAATGCAAACTAAGCTGAGTTAGCTTCAGTAGATACTCTGAAAGCTTCTTCAGCATCTTTAAATGCATATGTTTCATCTCTGTGAAGTCACTTCAAAGATTTTATAAGTCTCCACTCTTACTCTGTTGAAAAGAATTGGCTCCTTTCCAACCAACATTTAATTTGAAGTATTCTTCAGCTTTACAGTACTTTGTCAAGGAAATACACAAATAACGTTATTTTTATTTAGATAATGGCATACACAACAACTGAACTATGCAGAATGTATATGCTGATAAGCATGATCATTATGGACATACTGTTAAGTTATGAGTTCCTAAGAACTGTTTGATGCCCTTTGTTCTAGTTGCTATGGAGGGCACAAGAAAGTATGATGGAAAACTGAGACATTGAGTAGACAAGCAAGAGATTAATGAATAACTTGACCTTTCCTCATTGTTTTGTCAACGAAGGAAAAAGTGCTCTCATATTTGAGCAAGTAAATAAAAAGAGCCTTGCTCCAGAGTACATACAGGTTATTCATAATATACTAAGCATTTCCTTGAGTCTTGTCTTCTGAACTGTGGTTGTGGCGGTTGCCAGTAGTCAGAAACTGGTAGTCTTGGATAGGTCAGCTTCAGAAAGGATAGCCTCTTCCCCTAATTATAGTCAAGAGTGAGAGAACAAAACCAACCAAACCCCTTGCCATCTAGTCGATTCTGACTCATAACGACCCAAAAGGACACAGTAGAACTGTCTCATGGGATTTTTAAGGAGCAGCTGATGGATTCGAACTGCCAACCTTTTGGTTAGCAACTGAGCTCTTAACCACTGCACCACTAGGGCTCCCAAGACTGAGAGAGGTTAGTGTATAGTCCAAGACATCCAAATGCTTCTTAGGCTGTACTGGAAACTTCCCTCATAAGGCCAGGGATGCAGTCCTTCCATCAGTGAACAGACGCCCTAGTGAGACCCACCAGCTCACCTAACCACCAGCTATTACTGCCACCTGGGTTCCTCATCATTGTTCTCTTTCACAAGATTTCCAGTGTCATCTATTGCCTGCATCATCTCTGAGCATTCTCATGTCCTTCAACACCTTGTGTCTTTTTTTTCTTTTGAACATTTTATTGTTGTTTAGGTGAACGTTTACACAGCAAATTAGTTCCCCATTCAACAATTTATACACAGCTTGTTTCATGACATTGGTTGCACATCCCTGAATGTGTCAGCACTCTCCTTCCTTCCTTCCTTCCTGACGCACTGTGCCTTTGAAGTCTGCTTCTTCACCTGTATCGCCCACTCTGCCACTGCGTCTGGCCTGGGTGCGCACGTCCTAAGCTTAGTACAGACTCTAACTCACTCCTTGTCTACTAAATGTTGCCACAAATGATTAACACTGTTCCTGTGGACTACTGCAGTCAAAATTCCAATCTCGCAAAGGAAATTTTAAGACATAATTTAGAACTCCTACGTTTCTATTCATACCTGTGTATTTTGAACCTACCAGCGTCTTCGAGGGAGAAAAGATTTGGCAATCTGCTCCTGTAAAGATTACGGCCTAGGAATCCCTATGGGGCAGTTCTACTCTGTCCTATAGGGTTACTGTGAGTTGGAATCGCCTCGAAGGCAAACAACAACCTTTCTATTAAAAGGCAGTCATGAGTCAGTGCACATAACTTGATGTATATCTTGATGTAAAGAGAGTGCCTCTAAAAAGTTGAGAATAAATGAAATGTTTGTGTGTGTTTGCATTAGGTGAAAGTTTACAGAGCAAATTAGTTTCCCATCTGATAGTTCGTACAAAGAGTATTTCATGACCTTGGTTTCATTCGCCACAATGTGTCAGCACTGTCTCCATTTCTTCCCTGGGTTCCTGTTTTCTACCCCTTCCTGCCTTCTCATCTTTGCTTTTGGGCAGATATTACCCTTTTGATCTCCTATAATTAATTTTTCTAGGGAGTGTGTATCTCCCGGGTGTTATTGTTTATCTTATGGCCTTACTATTGTTTGGCTGAGAGGTCATCTGTGGGAATGGCTGCAGTTCCAGGTCAGAAAGGTGTTTTAGGACTATAGTCTCCGGGATTCCTCCAGTCTCTGTCAGACCAGTAAGTCCGGTCTTTTTTGTGAATTTGATTTTTTGTTCTGAAATTTAAGAATAAATGAAATTCTGGTAAGTTCATTCTCTCAAGTATTTACTAAATAATTATCATTTGATTAACTCTGCTCCGAGTTTTTGGAAAATTCAAGAAAGTGGTCTCTACTCACAAGAAGTTTATAGTTTAGTGTGGGAAAGAACACACACATATGTACAATCCATGGCATATAAGTGACTAATGAATGTTTGAAGAACGAGTGAATGAGGAAGTGAATCCATGCAGTAGAGTTAAATAGACAAAAAGTGATACATGAATGTCCCGAGGCTGTACGATTAAAAGCAAATAATGGCATAGAATACGATGGGATGTGTTTGTTACATAGAGTTTTTTAATGATTGAGAAATGGTTGTCATTTGTGAAAAAAGCAAGATTCAATATTGTACAGTTAATATGATGTCAAGGTACAATCCTGCAAATGTAAAATAATATTCAAAGAAACTTCACAATATTAACCGCCAGGTGGAAGTTATTACAGGTCATTTTTCTATTCTTTATATTTTTCTATAGTTTCTGTTTTCAATAATAAGCACATATTCCTTTTACAAGAAAATAGTTTATTTTACAAATGGTATAGTCAGGAAGTGCTGTAAGTTCCAGAGACATCACTTTGGGCTGGAGATGTTCAGGACGACTTCTTGGGTAAATGAATTCTGAGCTGGGTTAGTGGACCTTAAATAGGAAAAACGTGGAAAAATGTTTTAGGCAGATAAACTGACAGGAATGATGTTTTAAGCACACTTGTGGAATGTTTTGTAAAATGAACTCTTGGAAAGAGAACCACCACCCTCAGTGTCTGTGGGTATTTTGCCTGTTTCTCTTTGGTGGCAGCACAGCTGGCCGCACTCGGTGCCGCCCAGCTTTTCTATCATAGCTCCCCAGCTGGAAAGGAGACAAACTGAACGTGTCACCCCAAGAGCCTTGGTGGCATGACATAAGGTACCCGTGAAAACACAACATTCTGTCTCATTTTGTCTGAAATCTGCATGATTTGCCTTCTGCTCCCTTGTATATGTATTTGTGTTCGTATAGAAATAATGCTGTTTTCCTTTCAAACTATTGGAATAGCATTAAAGTTTCACAAAGTAAAATATCAATTCTGAATTTTTAAAAAGCAGTGCATATTTCATTTGCTTCCTTAAACAGTAATGTAAAACAAGCTATAAGGTGGAAGCAAAGTGATTAATTAGGAAGCCAAACAATGAACAGAGGGCATTGTAAATCATCTATGTTATAGGAGAAAATAGGACATAACTAACCTGTTTTTGTGTGTTTAGAAAAATTTGAGTTGCCTATACTTATATCTAAGGGGCCCTGGTGGCACAGTGCTTAAGTGCTCAGCTGCTAACCAAAAGGTCAGTGGTTCAAACCAACCAGCTGCTCCATGGGAGAAAGATGTGGCAGTCTGCTTCCGTAAAGATACAGCCTTGGAAACCCTATGGGGAAGTTCTACTCTATCTTACGGGGCCGCTATGAATCAGAATCAGCTAGATGGCAAAGGGTTTATACCGGTATCTTGGTTAACAATAAAATGCCTCTTCCATCCCTCACCTTTTCCTATGGCCCCTTCCACTGTCCTCTGTAGAATTTAGGATTTCTAATGTGTGTGTAGATACAAAATGCCAGGTTAAGATCAATGCACATTGATATGAGAAAGAGGTAGGATATAAAGGAAGGACATTTACTAACAAACGCAGTGCTTTTGCTTCTGCTTCCTACAGAAGTGGCTGAATTCCTTTCTGGGGCGTATCTCAAAGGTTTATAGTATTAATGTATTAAATACATAGGAATGCTTTGAAAACACAGTGCTTGTGTACAGCACTGACAGTCATCACCCGCAAACCCCTGCAAATAATAATCCAAGAAAAGAAAGGAACAAAAAGTGGTTTTTGGCTCCTGGGTATTATTTTTTTAATCCTTTGGTATCAGTGACTCAGTGTATCTACTGCAATATCATATTCAAATCCTATTTCCATTTTTTATATTCGAGTTGTTGAAAAAATTTTGAATTCAATGTATTAGGTACCTGCTATTTTCCTGATTTGGTTGCAGAGTTTGAGGATGAACACAGCTGTCTTCTTGAGGATTTAAATGGATAATCGCTTCTTTAGATTTTTTATTTGTATTATTGCTAATTGGCAGAGGAGAAAAAATAGGAAAATATCTTAATCAGGTAAGTTTCAGTTTTGAAAGAGATTAGTCAATAGCTTTCATTTTGAAATTTAGGGTACAATTTGCCTCAAGTTCCTGATACTTTTACAAAATATGTAAAAGGAAAAACATACCCAAATCCTATCTTTCAATACTAAGTAAAAACTTGGATTAGGAAGTAATAGTAAAATTTTTCTATATAATGTGTCAAAAGACTCTAAATTGTTTATAGATAAGTATCCATGCATTAAAATAACGCATTTCACTATTTCCAAAATAATTTTGATTAGTAAATACTGTCTGCCGCAAGATTATGACATTTAAGTTTCACTGCTATTTTACACAACGCTTCCTTTTTCCCTTGAATTGAAGATATATTTTCTGCTTTCTGTACAAGTAATACACACAGTTAGGAGAGCAGCAGTAGCTGTCCTGAAGGCATAAGATCTGAGAGTATAAAGAAGTATTTAATCACATCTTAATTTCAATAATAGCAATCACGTGTGAATAACAATAGTAACATTTTCTGGCACTTACCATAAGTTAGGCACCATGTTAAGTGCGGTAGTAACTGTTATTATCCCTATTTTACAGGCAAGGAAAACGAAGCTTGGAGAGGATAAGTATCTTACTCAAGACCCATACATAGTAAGTGACCGTGAACACAAGTCTTATATTGCACAGCCCATGCTTTTAACTCATATTCTACACTGCTTCTTTGGAGGGTCATTTTATAAGTACTTCTTTTTACATAAATAAAACGACAATACAATCACAGTACTTTCAGACTTTAAGTATACATTGGTACAGTAAAACCTGCAAAAGCCAAAACCTTTGTAAGGCAGAAACCTGTCAGAGAGGGGAAACTAAACTATTTTCCACTAAAACAAGCAATAGAAAAGTGGTAAGACTGCACCCTGTCAAAGGCAGAAAACTCGGGAGAGCCAGAAAAACAAGGCAGTGCTGTGGTGTTCCGGCTGTCAGGCTTCACTGTGTGAGGGATTGGGGAAGGAAAGCACAAGGGGTGACTCACTTCACCACTTACCACTAATCACTCAGTGACTCTTTACTCTCTCATGGCAGTTAGAAGGATGGCAGCATTGGAGACAAAGAAGATTGTGAGTCAGAGGCCAAAGTTTTCTCAGGATGAGGGCAAATTTGAGATCCATGGACGGGAAGAGTAGAGGGTTGTACAGCCAGGTGGGGTGAGCATCAAAGGAGTGGTGAGTAAGTGTTAGAGGAGTAACGTCCTGGAAGTAGTCTTGGGTGATAAAAACATTGATCCCACCTCCCAACTTGGAGGTGCCTGGGGTGTGAGAGAATATGACCTCAGTGAGTGATGTTCCAGTTGGTTAATGGTAGTTAATGTGAACATAGGAAAATTCAGGGAGTCTTCACAGAGGGTGGTCCTAACAGTTTTGTCACTGCAAGCATCATACCAATGAGGACTTAAACGTTTTATCTGACTACAGACAAGAAGCCTGTTTTTGATAGAAATGGCAACTGGTTAGAGCCATAAAAAAGAGGCAAGTAAAAATAGGCCATGTATGGAGATGTCTAAACAGTGTTACTTCTGTTTATGATCAATGCATGACTCATCTTGCTTAACATTTTTCACAAGTTATTTACATAGTAAATACATAGTGAAATATCCAAATGTGCAGATAACAGCATTTTTTCACTAGTAAAATGTCAAGCCAATGAGATAAACCACGGAAAGAACTTGCGAGTTTGTGAAAGGACAGGAAAGTTTTCATTAAACTCTACACGGAATATAGATAGATACCTTTACAGAAATATCTTAATTTTCTTCTAGGCTACTAACTCAGGGTAGAGTCAAAAAGAAGAAATTGCATACTATTTATTTCTAGAGAGATACTGGCTCAATGTACTGGAGAAGTTAAAACAATCCCAATAAAATACGGAAGTCAGCAAAAAGAATATTTTAAGAAAAAAGGGAAATATTTTTGCAACTTTGTACTATATGCAGTTCTGGATACTGAATTCCAGTGACACGGAATTGGATTCAGAAGTGGGCAACTAAAATTACCAAATGAGTAGGCATATAGGGTTCAAGATTTTGAATCAGATAATCTGGGTAAAGCCATAACTCCTAACAACTTTGTACTGGTGTGATTTTAAGCAAGTCATTGAATTTCTCTGCACCTTGGGGTCTTCTCTGCTTTGGGGTAACAATATTATTGGGTGTACCTATGTCACAGAGCTGCTTTGAGGACCAAAGAAGAGAATAAATGGAGAGCATTTATTTAACTGATTGCTGTCTAGATGCTAACTGTTGCTATTCTTACTAATTAATCTTGACTGCTGCATAAATGTATATCAAAACCATTAACTAAAAATGATTTCGAGTGTCTAGATCACTATGAGTCAGAAATGACTCGATAGCAATGGATTTTAGGGGGTTTAAAGGTGGCCCCTGCTCACAAGGAGCACCTAATCTGGGGAGGGGAATGGTTACAAGGGTGGTAGAGACTGAGAAGACAAGAGATGATTTTAACAGAGCATGGACAAGGTCACTATGCAGAAGGGCACAGAGTAGTTAGACGTCCTGAATCTGGACAGCTGAGGACTAAGAAGGTATAGAAAATCTTTAATAATGTGATATAAGCCTAAAACAGATTGGCTCACCAAGTTTGGTGTGAGTGAGCATGAGAACAATGAGCATCCTTGAAATCTGGGGTAAGTTCAGGGCAATATTTAACTTGGTAGGGAGTTGTAGCAGAATTCCCAGAGCAAGAAGAAGCATGGCAGATATACCTATCAATAGCCTTCGGTCTCTGGGCACAACACAAAGAGTGCTTGCTGGATTCAGCCTTAGCATCCTCCCAACACAGCGCCATGGAGGCACAGACCAGTGGATAAAATGAATCTTATTTCCCTGCATTTCCTCCCTGAGTCCACTGAGTAGCATTTGTGGCTGGTATGTCCCCTGCTAACCTCATTTACCTGCCACTAGGGGTTACAGTGGCCACAGTCCCATGCCCTGTGTAAACAGGTTTTAAAAAAAAAAAATACCCTTTCTTAAAAAAAGCACAAACAGTCTGAAGGTGTACTAAGAGACCAACATGAGACAAAAATAAAAATACACAATACAGAAATGATCTCACCTTCTTTACAAGACATTCCTTCTGAGGCCTACATTAACCATCCTATTACAGATTGCATCTCCCCACATTCCAAATCCCTCTTATCCTGCTCTATTTTTTTTCATAGCCTTTATTTCCATTTATTATAATTAATTAATTAAGTTTATTGTCTCTCTCCCTTCACTAGATGGAATAATGTAAGCTCCCTGAGAACAGGGATTTTTGTCAGTTACTTTCACCTATGGATGCATAACAAGCCCCTGGCACAAAGAAGTGGTCAGTAAATATTTACTAAATGAATGAGTGTACTAAACACCACTTAAGAGAGTTACCACAAAAGGAAAAATTGATGGGTTCCTGAAGTGTGTACTGTATCAGAGTAGACTTCAGCTTGCGCCCTTCCAGGCCTGGTTGGATCCTGGGCCTCACATGGAGCATGCTGTCTGGGGCTACTCTGTATTCTGTTTTTGGCTTTGAGACAGACTGCTCTTCCAGTTAGGTGACCCCGTTAAGGTCTTCTTCACTCTTATATTTGGCACCTCTCACATGATGCCTTCTTCTTAACCAAGAGGACATTTCTATATTTCTGTTCCTGTGAGAAAAGCCTGAGCTCCTGATACAGAGTAATTGAGCCTCTCTATATAGCCATACATGCTTAGCTTATCAGCTTCACTCACTTATCAAAGTATGACCAAATGATTCGAGGTTATCTCCATAACCTTTGAGGCTAAAGAGGACCACAGTCTTCTTCTATGTCATATCCCTGATTATCACTGGTCAGAGAAAGAACGACTGTGCCATGGACATTGCACTTCTATAAAATGCGAATAAAAGAGAAGGTATGTTTTAAGAGATGGAAATGGTGTATGACGAGGCTATTTAGATTAGATAGGGAATAGCCAAACCAATAATTTCTATGGAAATAATTTTTATGAAATGGTTATCAAGTGTTGTTTATGTCTGAGGATTACTAATATGAGGAAATGAGCTTAAATATGTACTTAAAGCAAGTCAATAGTTAGGTAGAATTTGATCCTCCAGTTGATTAACAAGGAATGGAGCATAGGAGATGAGGAATGAAGTCATTGGAAGGGAGATAGGAGATCATTTTGAATATCACCAAGAGGAAGAAATAATCGTTTGCCTTTGGTGGTTTTAACCAAAGACTAGTACATAATTAGAAAATTAGTAGCTTCACCCACTTTAATTCAACCTTAGTTAAAAAAAAAAAGAAAAAAAATAACCAAATTATCCAAACCCACTGCCATCGAGTCAGTTCCAACTCATACCGACTCCATAGGGTTTCTAAGGCTGTAAATCTCTACAGAAGCAGACTGCCTCATCTTTTTCCTGCAGAGCCACTGGTGGTTTTGAACCACTGACCTTTTGGTTAACAGTTGATCGCTTTAACCACTGTGCCACCAGGGCTTCTTAACAAATTACAGTGGTACTTAATGAGAAACTTTAAGGGGAAAAAGTGATTATACGGTACTTTTGCTAGTCTAAAGCATCAGGCTACTTACATTTTCTTGTGAGGGAGAAGGGCAAAGATTATTTACATGTCAAGCAACGAAATGATAAAGATTTAACTTAAATTTAAATTTCTACTAATTATTTTTTTGTGAAATTGAGCTCCTAACTAGGTTGTTTGCAAGTTCAGCTATGATATTCTACTTTGAAAAAACTTTATTGTCATTTGCTGTGAAATATCAAAACTTTAATTACTGTAAAGCTTATAGGAAAATGTATTTGCTTAGAATGCTTGCTATAGAAAATGGTTTACTTAAAAGTATAAATTCTGTTTCCTGTCAGAATAGAATTTGCTCATCAGCCTGATCACATTTATCTCAAGGACTCTGACCTCACTGATTGTGTTATAATTAAACCAACCAGCACAAAAAACTGTGTGTATTCTCTTCTCGGTCAAAACATTTTATTAAAAACTTTAATCCTTGAAAGGTTTTTAACAGTTTAAAAAGTAAGTAGCATTTATAAAAGATTTATTTTTTGATACACAATGCAACGTCTCAATTCTTCCACACTGGCAGCTTGTGATATGTGTACCAGCAGGACACACAGTCTCACTCGAGTGCCATGATAAGGTCTGTGTTTTAAGACCAGTGCCTGGACTATCTCAGCAAAACTAGGATAGCAACTTCCTCATCAATACCCTTTTAAAATTCTCTCTGCCTGTTTTCTCTTAGTGTAAAACCTATTCCTTCTTAAAATTCTAAGCTTTTTTAGAAAGTGTTCTTAGTACCATATTTGTTTCCCTTATTCTGAGTACTCATCTGTCCATAGTGTACGTCAAGGGTCCTATTTATTAGGTCCTATTTATAAGAATTTCCACATCTGTTTATGTAGTAGTGGGCTTTTTTTTTTTTTTTTTTTTAGGTTTTCTTTTCCTTTCCTTTGGCTTCCAAGAAGTGACAGTTAACAGTTTTGAACATTTTCTGGAAGAATCAGCTGAACCTACCCTGGCACAGTGGTTAAGTGCTCAGGCTGCTAACCAAAAGGTGGGCAGTTTGAATCCACCAGGTGCGCCTTGGAAACCCTATGGGGCAGTTCTGTGCTGTCCTGTAGGGTCGCTATGAGTCAGAATTGACTTGACAGCGACCGGTTTCTGGTTTGCGGCTTTTTTTTTTTTTTAGGTTTTCTTTTCCTTTCCTTGAGCTTCAAAGAAGTGGCAGTTAAGTTTTGAACATTTTCTAGAAGAATTGGCTGAACTTACCATTTTTTGCGCATTAGAAATATCCAGCAGGGAACAAGGATGTATAAAATAAAGAAGAACATACCAAAGAAAGTACCTAGGCAGTAAAACAAAGTAATTAAATACATGGAAAGTATAACCCCTAAGTTTTAAACTCTATCTTAATATCTCATTAGAGGTGCCAATGTTTTTTTTTTTTTAATGTAGTATAAATTATTTTTTAAACACACTCACACACAGGTTTACCTTTCAGATGTCTCCCCTAGTCCAGGTTTAATATAGAGTACCAATCTTACTCCCATAAGGTTATTGTTAAGGGGTGAGCAGAACAATTTTGTAACGTTTAGTCCAATAGCAGCCTTTCAACAAGCAGGTGGTGAGAACCAGCACTGGGCTCCTGGGCTGCAGCTCTCCACGGCCTGCACATGCCTCCTGCACAAGGCATAAGGCACAGACTATCCTGTGCAAGAGAGTCTACTAATTCTCTTTGAAGCAAACTTATCACAAAACTATTCTTATTATATAGACAGATCACCGAAATAGGCTTGGAAAACTAGCCTTTGTGGCTTTCAATTTGGGTAAGTGGTCATGACTACCATCTGGAATCATATTCCCAGGTTATAAAACAAACAGGAAGTTCTGTTCTCTAGTCACATTTAAATAAAGAATTTTTGACACTGAAGAATGATTATTCGTTTATAGTGGTGCAACAAAAGTAAAGAACCTTTGATGAAGAATCCTTTAATTGCATATGAGAATACCAGTTTTGCCAGACCATGGTGTCGTTGAGTCAGTTCTGACCCACAGTGACCCTAGGGACGACAGAACGAAATACTGCTGGGTCCTGCGCCGTCCTCACAGTTGTTGCTATTCTTGAGCCCGTCATTGCAGCTACTGTATCAATCATCTCATTAAGGGTCTTCCTCTCTTTCGCTGACCCTCTGCTTTCCCAAGCTTGATGTCTTTCTCCAGGGACTGGTCTCTCCTGATAACATGTCTAAAGTACGTAGATGAAGTTTAGCCATCCTTGCTTCTAAGGAGCATTCTGGCCGTATTTCTTCCAGGACAAATTGGTTCGTTCTTCTGGCAGTCCATGGTATATTCAATATTCTTTGCCAGCACCATAATTCAAAGGCATCAGTTCTTCTCTGGTCTTCCTTATTCATTGTCCAGCTTTTGCATGCGTACGAGGCGATTGAAAATACCATGGCATGGATCAGGTGCACCTTAGTCCTTAAAGTGACATGTTTGCTTTTGAACACTTTATTTTATTGTACTTTAGGTGAAAGTTTACAGCTCAAGTTAATCTTTGATACAAAATTTTATACACATATTGTCATGTGACACTAGTTGCAATCCCTACAATGTGACAGCACACTCCCCCTTTCCACCCTGGATTTCCTGTGTCTACTTTAAAGAGGTCTTTTGCAGCAGATTTGCCCAATGCAATATGTCATTTGATTTCCTGACTGCTGCTTTCATGGGCATTGATTGGGGATCCAAGAAAAATGAAATCCTTGATAACTTCAATCTTTTCTCTCTTTGTCATGATGTGGCTTATTGGTCCAGTTGTGAGGATTTTTATCTCCTTTATGTTGAGGTGTAATCCATACTGGAGGCTGTAGTCTTTGATTTTCATCAGTAAGTACTTCAAGTCCTCTTCACTTTCAGCAAGCAATGTTGTATCATCTGCATATCTTGGGTTGTTAATGAGTCTTCCTCCGATCCTGATGCTGAGTTCTTTCTTCATATAATCCAGCTTCTCAGATAATTTGCTCAGCATATAGATTGAATAAGTATGGTGAAAGGATACAACCCTGACGCACACCTTTCCTGATTTTAAACCATGTGGTATCCTCTTGTTCTGTTCGAACAGCTACCTCTTGGTCTATGTACAGGTTCCTCATGAGAACAGTTAAGTGTTCTGAAATTCCCATTCTTCTCAATGTTATCCATAATTTTTTATGATCCACACAGTCGAATGCCTTTGCATAACAATAAAACACAAGTAAACATCTTTCCGATATTTGCTTTCAGCCAAGATCCATGTGACATTAGCAATGATATTCCTCATTCCGACATCAGCAATGAAATCCTTCGTTCCATGTCCTCTTCTGAACCCAGCTTTAATTTCTGGCACTTCCCTGTTGATGTACTGCTGCAATTGTTTTTGAATTATCTTCAACAAAATCTTACTTGCGGGTGATATTAATGATATTGTTCGATAATTTCTGTGTTCTGTGGATTACCTTTCTTTGGAGTGGGAACAAATATGAATCTCCTCCAGTCAGTTGGCCAGGTAGCTGTTTTCCAAATTTATTGGCATAGACAAGTGATCACCTCCAGTGCTGCATCTGTTGAAACATCTCAACTGGTATTCTGTCAATTCCTTGAGCCTTATTTTTCACCAATGCCTTCAGTGCAGCTTGGACTTCTTCCTTCAGTACCGTTGGTCCTTGATCATATGCTGCCTCCTGAAGTGGTTGAATGTCGACCAATTCTTTTTGGTACAGTGACTCTGTGTATTCATTCCATCTTCTTTTGATGCTTCCTGTGTCATCTGTCGTTCAATATTTTGCCCATAGAATCCTTCAATATTACTGTTTTTTCTTCAGTTCTTTCAGCTTGAGAAATACGTAGTGTGTTCTTCCCTTTTGGTTTTCTAACTGCAGGTCTTTGCACTTGTCATTACAATACTTTACTTTGTCCTGTTGAGCCGCCCTTTGAAATCTTCTGTTCAGCTCTTTTACTTCATCATTTCTTCCATTTGCTTTAGCTGCTCTACATTCAAGAACAAGTTTCAGAGTCTCTTCTGACATCCATTTTAGTCTTTTCTTTCTTTTCTCTTTTTTTAATGACTTTTTGCTCTCTTCATGTATGACATGTCCTTGATGTTATCCCACAACTCATCTGGTCTTCAGTCATTAGTGTTCAGTGCATCAAGTCTATTCTTGAGATGGTCTCTGAATTCCGGTGAGATATACTTAAGGTCGTATTTTGGCTCTTTATATTCTTTGTAATTGAATTTGCAGTATAAGGTATTTCGATCTATTCTTTTACATTTTATTCATTACAAGTGAGTACTTACTGTTAAAAGATGCTAGAGTTCCTCAGTTAACCCTTAATAAAACTTACCAACTATGAGAGCATCACGTGTGCCTAAAAGGAAGACAAAAGCCACAAAACATTAGTCTGGCACACAACATGGTAAAATAGGATCTCTCAGCTACAGAGTGTTTTTTTCAGCACTCAGTCTGTTTTTTTTCTAATATAAAATGCCATAGGTTTCATATACACAACCTCATTTTATCTTGTGCAATTAGTCAAACTTGTTTTTTCTTTTTAAATTAATATTTTTATCATAAAAGTAACATAATCACAGTAGAAAATTTGTATAAAGGAAAAAAAGAAAAATATTACCCATAATTGTAATATCCTAAAGCATTCTGGTACATTCTTTGCTGGTATGTTTTTCCATCAATCTAAGTTTTTACATAGTTATACGGTATATAGAAATGCAAATTACATAGGGGCAAACCAATATAATCAATTTAGTGGATGTATTATAGTTTATTTAATGTTTTCTATTGTATATTTAAGTCATTTCCACTTTTATTATGACACCCTTGATAAAAATATTTTTAAAAATTTTGCATTAATTGTAAATTTTTTTATTAATT